GAGCTTGCTGATGTCCGAAAAACTCGTCCAAGGCGCCGGATCGCTGCTGGGAGTCTCTGATCTGAGTGCTTCCAAGGTTTTTTTTCCCTTCTCTACTGGGGAGTTACTTATGGGTTACTGGTACATGACTGAGCACCCTACTACCCGTAACACTTGATTGTGGGGATTGTCTCTGTGCTCTGACGCGTCGTACTGTGACACCAACACCAACACTGCTTTCGCCTTGACGTGGATCTTCCAACCGATCCATCCGCTGTCTCTTCACATTGTAGCATACCTGAATTGATAAGAAATACCTCTTCTTGCAGCATCTTCCATAAATTCGAGCTATTTTGAGCGAGTAGATGCAGATTTTTCGAGGGCTTGAGTGCGAACCACTTATTTGCAGCCTCCAAGACGGTCAAGTCGCGTTCGACAGCAGTAATGTCTACCTATGAATCCTTGTATATGAGATACCAAATGGAATGTGCAAATTCGTAAAAAGATCGTAAAAGAGTTCGTAAAAGATCACTCCTCTGGTACATACATGAGGTTTGACATTATGTAGACCCGTTTCAAAAAATCCACCTAAAACGCCGATGCTTAGCACATCTTTGTCGCGATCATCTGCATGTAAGTCCAAGGATGACATCAGGAAACTTGCAGCTATCATACCATTAACCTGCAACATAATGTAATGATTATGCTAGGTTCAACAGTCGTTCGAAGGCGCGTTCCACGTTAGTCATATAGACGGAGCTAGGAAAACGTTGCGCCGTCTTCGCTTGCTCCCTTCTCAGCTTCACCCCATATATGAAGGGCACATCAATGAGAAAGGAGTGGTACTAGGCTCGCTCCGTATATTCGGCGTGCGTACAGTCCTCATCATTGCGGACCGGTGGGGCGTGTCAGCCAGTAGGAGTGCGCACACTGTTGAAGCCGTTCTCAGCCTTTTTGTTGCGACAAAAAGTGGTAGAAAACGAGTAATACGAAGGATATAATACAGTAATGCACTTGCCCGCTTCAAAAACTGGTGCAGAACGACTTTGCCAAACCGCACCAAACGCAGCCGCACTGCCACGCCCCACCGGTCCGCAATGATGAGGACTGTACGTGAGAAACCGACTAACCATGACAAGGCATAATATTGAAATTAGCCAGCAACCACAAATATTTGTATTCTCCCAATCAATTTTGAGACCTCACAGCACACTCCACGGTCGGATGATGGGTTCAATTGGTCAAAGCGCAAGTCATTTCGAGCGACGTTTCGTATATGTGGTTCCTCTGATCGTTGCACCGAGTCTGTCAGTGAGGATCGCGAGGTGTAGCACCGAGTCTGTCAGTGAGGATCGCGAGGTGTACAAGCTACAATCATTTTAAAATTGTCCGCTTTGAGATCCCCGCCAATATTTGCCAACCCGTCAACAGTGAACCAGTTAAGTTAAAAACTCTATCGTAGGAATAATACTGCTATATTTTGAAGGTTGAAGGTAGATTTTGCAAACTCTTGTAAAGTGGTAGGACGTTGAGCGAGTTAGGGATCGCATAAATGTTAGGTAATGTGGGGGTTTAGGAAAGAAGTCGTACCGGAGGAAGAACTTTGAGCGGGGGAGGGTTGCGGTTCGCAAGTTGCCCCTAACGACACGGCGTGCCTCAGAGGCGTCCATTTTCGCCTTCCCTATGACTCATGTGTTATACTACAAATGTACGATATTTTGAGCACGTTCTGCTCAGTATACTA